GAGGGTGCCCCAGGGGCTGGCGGCCTCCTCAGCAGCAGTGACAAGAGTTGGGCTAGGGCTGGTAAAGCTGAGGGTCGGGGTGGGTAAAAATCAACAATTTTAAAAAAGAATAAAAACGGGATTTAAAAAAAAATTTTTAATCTGATTTTTTGTTAAAATGCTTTTTTTAAAAAAGCACCTATATAAAGACAGTTTTAATTTAAGGTAAGTTAAAGCTCACTCTTTCATCTGCACCTGTGTTTTGGCCAGAATATGGAAATTACTGGGGTGGATCCTTGCCTCACATCATTATTAAAAATAATAAAATGAGCCCTGGATTAGTGATTTCTCTGAAATTCCAAGATGGCATCATGGAATAGGAATTATAACTTCTAATTGTATACAATTTGAGATGATATATTCATGTAACCTTCTTAGAAAAGTTTTGTAAATAGGTCACAACAGGCCATGGACTATATTAAGGGCCCAATCTTATGGGGTTCCCAAAGGCTCCTCTATAGATTAGTAAAGATTAAAGAAAACCATACTACCCAGTGGGACTTGGCGCTCAGTCTAGATCCCATTAAGTATCTCTGCGATGCTTAGTTTCTTTCAGTTCTCAAACTGTGGATTTGTATCTCCAGAGATAATATCCTTGATAACAGCAGTATATGGAGACAAGAGATAACAGACCTGATTTGCCTACCAATCAGCCCTTTTGTCTCTCTGCAAGTTTATGTACACAGAGTCAAGCCCTTACCCCTCTCTAAAAGTGCAAAGTTTCAAGAAGTTAAAGGAATAGAGGATATCAAACAACAAGAGTGCACTTTTTGTAGAAAGTGATGATTAAATCGAGGCTTTCTGACCACTGATTTAAATCGTGATTTATATCAGTTTGGTTTTAAAACAAATCCACCCTGCTGAAGTTTGCTGGGATAAAGGGCAAAATCCAGGCTGTTGCTTGCAAACAGGTAGGAAAGCAGTGAGAGAGGCTTCCTCTCCTTTTTGTGTCGTTGTGTGACAAGGTATTTAGTAGAACTCGCAGACTTCTTATAATCTGACGAAGCCACGTGGTGAGTGCTCCTGCTGTGGCCTTGAGCTTGGCACTTCTGGGTTGTTAACTGTGCGTTTGGCATTTTGTGCCACCCCCAGAAAGGCTTAGACCTGAGAAGCAGCCCAGTGTGCTGATCAGTTGTAGCTTGTACAATTTATTCCAGCCCTGATTCCTTCTCTAGCCTGCCTCTGTCACACTGAGCTCACCTGGGCAGAGCTAGGTGGAAGCACAGGGAGTTTGCACTTCCTGGCCCTGTTTTGCTGCTGTCCAAAATGCCAGAAGGGAAAGCAAGTGTTGGATGCAGCTTCTAAGAAGGCTCTGCTTAGGTTTCCTTTTTCCTGTCCAGTGGAGCCCTGGAGAAATCAGCCTACTATTTATTATTTGGTAACGTAGCTGCAATTGGTTCAGCCATTTGGAATTGAGAGAGCGGCAAGGTTTTTTGTTTTGCTGCACGGCACCTGTGGCATAGGGCAGCTGCTGCGTAGGTGCCAAGCAAGTGCAAGGGGAGACAATCCCTGCTGTGCTAGGGGGCTTTGCCACAAGCACCCAGAGGCCCCAGTTGCCGCTCTTGTAGCTAGTGAGTATAGGGCTTTTTTAAAAATAAATAAATAAATAAATAAATAAATAAATTTTAAGTGCCAGGAGGCTGGGCTGGGTGGGGCCTGGGGCTGGATAGGGCAGCCATGGGGCTTCTCCCAGGGCTCCCTCTGCCCCGGGAGAGGCAGGGGCGGGGC